ATAATATGTATATATATATATATATATATATATATATATATATATATATATATATACATACATACATTATACATACATACATACATACATACATACATACATACTAATACACACACACACACACACACACACACACACCACACACACACACATACATATATATTATAATATATATATATATATATATATATATATATATATATACATACATACATACATACATACATACATACATACATACATACATATATGTATATATATATATATATATATATATATATATATATATATATATACATATATATATATATACATATATACATACATATACAAATATCCATAAAGAGAGAGAGATAAAGAGATAGAGAGAGATAGGGATAGATAGATAGACAGAGAAACATAGATAGACAGATAGATCGATAGAATGAGAGAGGGAGAAAGGGAAAGAATGAGAATGAGAAGAGAGAGAGAGAAGCGAGAGAAAGAGAGAGAGAGAGAGAGAGAGAGAGAGAGAGAGAGAGAGAGAGAGAGAGAGAGAGAGAGAGAGAGAGAGAGAGAGAGAGAGAGAGAGAGAGAGAGAGAGAGAGAGAGAGAGAGAAAGAGAGAGAAGAGAGAGAGAGAGAGAGAGAGAGAGAGAGAGAGAGAGGAGAGAGAGAGAGAGAGAGAGAGAGAGAGAGAGAGAGAGAGAGAGAGAGAGAGAGAGAGAGAGAGAGAGAGAGGAGAGAGAGAGAGAGAGAGAGAGAGAGAGAGAGAGAGAGAAGAGAGAGAGAGAAGAGAGAGAGAGAGAGAAATAATAGATAGAGAGAGAAAGAGAGATAGATAGAGAGAGAAAGAAAAGTAACAAAATTGCACACAAAATGAGCTAAAATGCGCTATCCATGACGTCACGGTGTTTTAACCGCAGGAAAAAATCTAAAACGTAATTCCTCAAATAGACAATTCACACTACGGCTTCCGGCGATCATCTTCCGTTAGCAGCAGCAGGAGGAGGAGGAGAGGGAGGAGGAGAACGGAAGAAAAAATGAAGATGAGAAAAAGAGGAGGAGGAGGAGGAACAGGAAGAAGAAAATGAAGATGAGAAAAAGAGGAGGAGGAGGAGGAGGAGAAGGAGGAACAGGAAGAGGAGGAAAGGAACAGGAAGAAGAAGAAGGAAGAAAAGGAAGAAGAGGAGGAGGAGGAACAGGAAGAGTAGAAGGAAGAAAAGGAAGAGGAGGTGGAAGGGGAAGAAGGAGAAGGAGGAGGAGAATAAGAAAGGAGGAAGAGGATTAAGAACAGAGGAGAGGAGGAGGAGGAGGAATAGGTGAGGAAGACTGGATGTAGGAGATGTAGGCGGAAGAAAGAAAGAGTAGAGTAGAGAACAAGAAGGGCGGAGAGGAGGAGAAGGAAGAGGGGAAGAATTATAGCAGAAGAAAGTGAAGAAAAGAAGCTTTTCTTTTTACTACAAACTTTTTATCTCATATCTAAAACCAAACCACCATATTTGGACATCTTTACAACATCCAATCAAACAAATATGTCTTTAAAGGTTCCCTTTTCGCTAATCAAACTGAGCTTCAGTGGCATCGACAGGCCCGCTACTAATTTCTTTCAATACATCAACCCTCATTAACAGTAACATTATAATTACAATTTAAAAAAAAGGCAAATATATTCCATCCGTGCCAGCAATAAATAGATTACTAATCACAACAGAAGTTTCACTACGAGCCTTCAATATACATTACCCGAAACGACATGGCATTTTGTTCGCACGTGTCGGCGGCAAACACCGAGACCTGATATTAATTTACGCATTCGAAATTTCCCATGATGGACTGCGGAAATTCCACAGCTCTAACGAGAGTAATATCAGATATAATGTAAATATTAATATTCAGTAACAAATTCATGCATTTTTTTTTTTCTGGCGAGTGAAGGAGGCCGGCTTAATTCAGATGTGTAGCCACGTTGATTTCGGTTTAAGGGGAGGCTTTACTTTATCACTAATGGGCGAGGGGAAAAATGGTAAAGGGAGGGAGGGAGGGAGGGAGAGGGGGAGGGAGGGGAGAGGGAGGGAGGAAGGGGAGGGGAGGAAGGGGAGAGGGGAGGGAAGGGGGAGGGAGGGAGGGAGGGAGAGAGAGAAGAGAGAGAGAGAGAGAGGAGAGAGAGAGAGAGAGAGAGAGAAGAGAGAGAGAGAGAGAGAGAGAGAGAGAGAGAGAGAGAGAGAGAGAGAGAGAGAGAAGAGAGAGATAGAGAGAAAAAAGGTAGCGAAGAAAGACTCCGAAGGAATAAATCCCCATTGGCAAAAAATTCCATCCCGCTCACAGAGACCAGCGTGGAATTAGCAATCTTGGTCATTATCATATGGGTGCAGTTTGGCCGTCCTCTCCGGAGTCTATCATCGGAGCATATGTCTGAGTGCTTCAGATTTCCCATGCAGAGAGTGTGCACAATAGCAGTCATTACGGAGCAACAAGTACCAGTTGAAGATAATGCATAATTACTGGAGATGTATCTCTGCTATAAACATTTACTCCGAGGTATTAGGGATGTGTAATTCCGGCCGGCGCATCGGTAATCTTGCAACAGCGCGCCCCGATTTCTTTTCCTCCTCCACTTCCACTCTACCACTCCCTCTCCTCTTTTTTATTCCTTTCTTCTTCCTTCACCACTCTATCCACCACCGCCCCTGGACCTTCCTCATCCACCAACACCTCCTTCCCCACCACCACCAACAACCCCTCCACATCTGCCACCACCATTTCCTCCACCTCTCGCACCACCACCACCTCCTCCACATTCACCACAACCACTTCTGCACATCCTTTCCCCAACTCGTTTTTTCTGATCTCTTCACTGAACTATCAACCCTAACATAATTATAGAACGGGTATATCTCTGCTTTAAAATTTTACTCGGTGGGAATCACACATGTATAATTCTAGTGCGGGTATCAGAGATTTAAGAGTTACGCCGGAGGAGCCCAGCCCCACGGCCTCGTCTCGGCTCCCCCCGATCAGCTGACTGCAATGCGCGCCAAAATTGATGTTCTCTTGATGTTTACGAGTTCCAGAGGTGCCGGCTTAGAATTTATTCATGTAATCTTAAAAGGTCTTGCATCACCTCTTGATGGATGTTTATGCGTGTTGTTGTATATCATTTTTCAAGATTATGCTACTTGCCCATTGTCAACGCGCGCATTAGTCAAATTTGTTTACCATCTATCCTCTTTACGGACGATCATTAACACGTATCGCTGGAAACGTTCAAATAATCCTTCTCGAATTGTATACAAAATTATAAGTCTTAGAACTGCAGGTGGGAAGGGATGCATGTCCTGTACAACAAACACCGGATAAAACCGCGATACTTTCTAAACCAACCCTGTTCTCCGGCGGCGCGACTTACAAACGACGCGCTCCCTCTGCCAGTCCAAGCACGTCAAATCACTCCTCGAACGGCGACGCGCGAGCCCCACGAGGCACGAAAACAGTTCCTTGCAACCGAGATCCGCTCTGCGAGTCAGAGGCGGGACAGCTCCGGACGAGTTATTGCTCTCTCAGAAAATGTTTGCCCGGGACTTGAGAGATACGTGTTTTCGAGGACACGGGGAGTCGCGCGGATCTCATAACGCTCGAAGCCATCGCAAATATGCCTGTTTAAAATATGCCCGACACAATCCGCCTTTTGAAACGGCTCTCGGCGCAAATTACGGGCGGAGGTGGTCCCAGGCGGAGTAGCAAGGAGACTCTCATAAGCTGCATTTCTTTTGCATAAAAATGTATCGGCAGTTATCAATACTTTACGATCCACCTATTTCTATAATGGGAAACATAATATTCAAGTCCTTACGTTAATATTTCTAAACTGTCGATTCACGTTTGAAAAAAAATAGTCATATATCATATTATGATATTTCCTTCGATTAAATTTACATATTGCAAATCTACAAACTTGAAGTAACGAAAAAAAAACTTTCAGTACTCCTATTTAGTCATATTAGTCAACACCTTTCCAACATCAGAATCTTGGCTCACCTCCTACCCCCCCCCCCCCCGATCGTGGCGCAATTGCCACCTTCCTTAGTTCGGGCCGGATGGGCTTTATATTACCAACATCTAAATCATATTAATGTCTGCCATCCGTGACCATCGCGTACGAAAATTCCATTACAGTTCCGGCGATCCTGCGCGGCCGCACTCCACACGGTAATCGCCGCTGCGAGTTGCACATTTTGCAACTGGTTCTAGACGGACTCCCCTCCGCCGTCCCCGACTTTTCTTGCGGTTATTTCCTCCACTTTGTATAACCCTTATTGTGGCCCTCCCGTCGCTAACTAACTGTGTATGAATCTTTTGTTACTTCGTTAGGTCTTTTTGCTGTCTCCTCTCCCCGCTGCGACATCTCCATATAGATAACTGATTTCCCCCCCGCCCCTTGGACGACCAAAGATGCGCCGCTCCTCCCTCCCCCTCGCCAAAGGGAGAGGGAGAAGGGGAGAGGGGAGAGCCTCCTTTCTCCTCAGTACCTCCGCTTCTTAAAACACCCACTTGTGTTTCCCCGACACTTACATTACCTCCGCCGGACCACTTTCAACCTCACATTATCCCTCGATCGGAGACCAGTAGTGTCCCTTCGTCTTGTACCTGCTCCAAGACCCCTTCCTGACGACCACCCTCTTATCCTCCCTCCCCCTACCTACCCTCTCCCCTTCCATCTGTCTCCCCTCCTTTCGTCCCGGTAATCATTCCCCACCAGCGCACACTTCCGTTCCCCACCTCCTTCCCTTTCAGTACCCCAAACTGGCCGCCATCCCACACAGACACGCAGATATACACACATACACAGTAATCATCAGTCTGACTCCTTACCTGCCCGGTCCTTAACCTTACCCCTCAGACCCTCCTCCTCCCCTTCCCCTTTCCCTCCTCCAACTCCCTCCCCAATTCTTCCCCCTCCTGTAAGCGACGCCGGCGCCTTCCGGGAACCGCCAGCGCCGCAGAACCTGTAGGAGTACTCACCAGGCCGTCTACTTCGGGGTCGTTCATGAGGAAAGGCTTGCGGTCCCGCTCTTGGTGCTGCACGAAGGCCTGGATGTCCAGGTTGAAGGAGTCGCTGCTCACGGAGTCAGCGCTCTGCGTGGCCAGCTCGCACTTCTCGAAGAGCAGCGCCAGCAGGGGGAAGAGAGGGTGCCTGGGGAAGACACGCGGAAACATGGGTTAGGAAATACGTCCTTGTTGATATGCTGGAAATCTAAGCTTGATCGAGATTTG